AATATCAATATTGTCTGATGCCATTTTCCTCATAATTTAAACTGTTTCCTTTGTTAAATTTCATTAAAGTTTTGTTTGAAATGTCATCATTATAGAACATGTGCACTAAGCAGAACAGTATTTTATGACTGTCTTGTTACTTATTTAAATCATTTGTCTTTAAGATATGCTGTCTATATATTCAGAGTATTATAAATATTAACACATACCTTGAACCTGTTACTGGTGTGGGTAATATGATGGATAAATATCACAAATGTTTTCAAACATTAATAGTTCTTCCTCAGGCGATATGAAAAAAAGAATGACAAAATGCAGAACAAAACAGAACTTGAATATTTAAAATAGAATCAAATCCACTTCTCTTGTAAAATCGTTGGATTGGACATGTGCATTCGATGCGGGTAGTTGGCCTGCCATGCAACGGACAAATTCAGTTCTTCTTTATAATTTATGCACGTGGTAGTGTGGCTAGATTTATAAATGGAAATAGCCTCCAACCACCTCAGGTGCTCAGGGTGGGACGAGGTGACGATGACCCTCACTTGATTGAAGGCCACTTCAATGTCAGGGTCAGCCGTGCAAACCGCAAGAGCTGTAGAGTGCCTCCCATGTAGAATGTCTGCATTGTGTTCATGTATTCTGACTCGCAAGGAGCATTTGGTGGAACTGATGTAAATAAGGTTCCTGTCACACCTGTGGTCCTTAAGAGGTATAGAGTAAACGCCCGGACGGATAAATATCACAAACGTTGTCGTTTGCAATATTTATCCATCATATCACCCACACCAGTAACAGGTTTAAGGTACGTGTTGATTTCATCCTGGTGTTCTTTGAATGTAGAAGATTATAATTATTATTATGTCACACAAAAACAAAACTTCAAACATGAGTCAAAATTTTATTTTAGCAGAAAAGATTTCTGACTTTTGTGTTTGAGTCTGTTCTGAATCTGATATGTACATAACATTACACTTTACATGTGAGAATGCTATAACTGTAAACCCTCAGATCTTAGTATCTGAGGGTTTACAGTTATAGCATTCTCACATTAGATCTTACTATAGGGTTCAGAATGGGCAGATCTGACTGGGTTGTGAGGAAATTGAAGTTAATAAAGATATACAAATGACCAAAGATTAATAGTAACAACAACAACAACGATATGTAATAACAATAGAGTTACAAAAAGAATAGTAATGGTAACAGCAACAGTTAGTTAAGCCAAAACAAAGGGTTTAGTAATAAAACAAGTTATAAAAAAACAATTGGTTACCACAGATACAGCAATTCCTTCTCAAGCAAAGCTCCAACAAACATAGCAATGCTAGGAAAACTCTTCCTAACTCTTCCACCAAGCTCTTGTTAATTTATACTTAATTTACATAATGTCACAACTTCTGCTTACCTAATTTACATAGTTTTGTTAACCCAGACTTTACTTGTTTATTGGCAGCAACTCTAGTTCTGACAATTCTATAACGATTATGATTATTTGCCACATCCTCATGATGTCTTTGTCTTATGGAGCATTGTGAGGATGTGGCAAATAATAGATGTACAACAGAGCTGGTTAAAAAAAGGAATAGTGAATAAGTTTGATTCACTTTGTTTGCAAACCTTGCTCCTAAGTGAGAACCACTTATCTAGGAGACTCTTTTCATTGTCTCAACATCACTATATAACACTTCACACTTGACATCCAAGAACTGTGGACAGCACTATTTAAACTTTTAAAATCTTAAGTTGTGTATTTCGTGATAAAAAGCATCTTATTTTATTAATGGTTTTTCCATGTTTTAATTTACTTTTGTATTCCCTTGGTTTAGCATACAGATATCCCTCACTTAAAATTAATTGTGGCAATCCCTTTATATGTGCGACAGAAGTTTTAATTAGCACAGCTTTAACAAACATCTTTACTTCAAATAGATATGTTTTTCTTGGCAAATAAGGTGTTCACAAATTTACTATTTTCATGTAAACTACTGTAATTAAACTATATAGTATATAGTTTAGTTACAATATTTGTGAAATTTAACACATTATTGATAATGTGATATTGTATTCTTAGAATATTATTTTAAAACTTTACTTCACATTTTGTTTGCATAAAATCAAATAAAAATATCTGCAGATAAAATGCACATCAGACATATTATGTACGCTTTTTAAGTTTTGTAAAAGATATAACACTATACAAACAGTAAAAAATACTCATAGTGTGTATTTGTATGTATGGTTATAAACATTGATCCAGTTACCTGAAGTAGTTAGAATTTCATCAAAAATACTATATAAAATTTAACTTTATATACTTTTACATATGTTTTTAGTTATTTTGAAAAATTAGCATAAGAGAAAAGACAGTTATTCTGTAATTTTAGTTGTATAATAAAATTTTACATCCTTTTATGTATTTTTTTAGAATCAAACTGGCTCCATATATTCAGTACTCGCCAATTGCCAATCCCTTTTAATTTGGCACAATACACTGACAAGGAGCGGGAAACGGCAAATTCCAAATATTAGTTATGAGTAAATCAACCACACTACTTGATATTGGCCAAGTAGTGCAAATACAAATTGGTGGCATTCTGCAAATACAAATGTGTGGAGCCAGCCAAACAGGAAACATATGATTATAAGTTTTATTCAATAAAATTCCAAAAAAAAAAAAAGACAAATAGTACCCAATATTGCATTTATTCAGAATAAAAATGTATGAAAACTATTAAATGAAAAAAATTCTTAACAAATAAATTTGAATGGAATGTAAATGATTTATTTTATAAAAAGATTTTTAATTGTTGGCTCTGGGCAAGAAACACATCAAAGAAAAGAAAACAGATTTGAAATATACTGAACAACCTAATCAATAAACATTAATTAAAAATAAAATAGTTTTTAATAAATAAAATTAAAAAATATAAGCAAAATTAGAAAAATGACTGGGTGCACGTAGTTAAAAAGGCACACATCAGAGCCAATTTTTAAAAAATTTTACGGAGCAAAGAGCTAAAGTTTTCAACTATAACACAATTTGTAAATTGTAAAGTTTTGTGTGCAACTAACAAAAATTAAATAAACGTAAACAGTAAATAAATTCTAATTTTTCTTAAAAAGCAATGCAACTTTAACAGGAATACTTAATTTTTCTGATAATCAGTAATACTTTAAAACAAATTATTATACATTAAATTAATACTCCCTTTTGTTGAAACCATATCTTTGTTTTATTTTTTTCTCCAACTCACAATAGTTTAACCCAATGAAAAAAAATTGCATTTTTATAAATTTCTGATTTAATGTAATTTTAAAAGTGAATAAGAGAATTACTAGCAAAGGCTGTATACTACAATTCACTGAAATGTTCGCTAAGAAAATGATACATAAAATTTTGTTTTAAAGTAATTTGTAAAACAAATGGAAAATGGTATCGAAAATGTGTACTGTGCAATATATCAAGCTAACAGCAGACAGGCATAAAATCCAAAATGTATATTGGCAAATGAATGTAAAAACAGAGTATTAAACAAGCAGCCAAGCTGCAATTTTTAATAATTTTTTAATTTAAAATGTATGCTCTCCACCCCTGTACATCATACTTTTCCATTAGCAATAGAATCATGCCAGTCATCTATTTAACTCCTTTCAGAGGGAAATTTTTGAATTGAAATAATTGACTTCCACTTTAAACTGGAAGTACTGTACATATAAAGTTAATCGAGACTGCCTGCTCCTAATCTTTCCATACCTGGTCTTGACTTTCATTTAACTCCGTTCTCAAAATTGAGGAAAGATGGACAGACAGACAACAGTGGGAACTTATTGGCCTATAATTTTTTCAAATTGCAACCCAATGAAATGGCTGTAATAACAGTCTGCTGTCTTAATGTTTGATGATATTAATGAATATTTGTATAACAGTTGATAACCGATGGCCAAGCCAACAATCTCCTGTCCTAAGGGCACTAAGTGGGCTTTTTTTTTAGCAGTACCATCATGGTTCAAGCCTGACCCACAATGGGGCAGTGAGGGTCAGGACCCAACACAGCTATATAGCACATGTCCCCAAAAAATTCCTGACATTTTTTGACCTGTCTGGATTCAATCCCAGGTTCTCTGGAGTGACATACTGCTACCCTAATCAATATGGCTGGAGATAGTTAAGACATCAACCCACCACTCTGGGAAACCTAGAATTGAATGCAGGCAGTTAAACTTACAAGAAGTCAGTCCCAGATATATGGGAGGTCCTATCCCTCACCACACAATTGTCCCATTTTGGATCTGATTGAACCCACAACAGATATAGGAAAAAAGGCCATCTTCAAGCCCACAGTTTAGAAAGAGTTATATACATATAAACAGTTGATAACTTTCTTCAGAATGTTTTGGAACTGCTTCTTGTCTGATTGTTCAAAATTATGTTATCATGGCTCTAAGACGGCTGTTTTAATATCAGACAACTTTTTCTTTACAAATTATCACTAAAAGACATCCATCTGCTTTTTGTAATTTATCCTGTGTAATGGCTGACAAGGAACTTACTTCAGAAATGCATTCCATAAAAAATATAAATAGGAAAAAGAATAAATGAGTTTAATTTGTTTTTAATCTATGTGTCTCCTTGTCTCGGTGTAATAAGTCTATATTAAAATAGTGGTCTTAGAGCCATAATACATAAAATGACGATAACTTGTTTAATTATTTATTTTAATGTTTTTTCTTTCATGTTTGAAAAAATTTGTCTTCAAATATAACTTTCTCAATTAAAATTCCCAATGAAATTACAAATACAAATAGAAATTCATAAATTTTTTAAACTTTATTCTGAAACTAAAAATTATTCTAAGATTTCGTCAAAATTGACAAAAAAAAAATTTTCATAAATTTCAAAACTTCTTCTATGAATAAAAAATAATATATATAGAAATGTTGATAGATTTTTCTTTCAATTTATCTACTTAATATGTTAAATTTATAAAATTACTTACCTGCTGTGTGTACATTGACGTTTGTTAGTAGGTTTCATTTCTTCTTCTGTTAGATCGGTACGCCTGCGGCGCTGTGGAGGCATATTACTAGTAGAAAGCTGCAATCTTGAATCAGTTTGAAATCTATCTTGTTCTTGCAAACTCTAAGAATGGATTTTTATTTAATTTTATTAACTTCTTTAAAATATGATTTGTAAGTTTCTCTATAATAATAGTTAACTAAAGAAAATAAATTAATTTTTGTTCCATTTTATAAATTAAAAACTGTATGTATGCATCTACACATGCACAAACTTGAAATTTTAATTGCTAATGATGTGTCAAAGTTTTAGCATTCAAGTAAGAGGTGCAATCTAACACATATGCACAAAAAGACATAGTTGTCACAGTTCAAAATAGTCCAATTAATTTTGTATTAGAATTTAAGAAGTTGACAGCTTTTTATAGGTCCTAATCTTTCTAAAGATAATGCAATTCTCTTCATGAAAATGCTTAAATGCGTATAACACAATAAATTCAAAATGTGCTGCAAAGTTCTGCTGTCTAAAAATTGCTGACCATTTTGTATACAATCTAGATTTGATCACCCTTAGATTGTTGTCTGTTTCTTACCTTGAAGGAGCATAACATTTTAGTTATGAATATAAGGTGTGTCCAGAAAATAAAGAACCTTTACACATAATACTATGTGCAGGTAAATTACTGCCATCAATTCAAAATCAGTTTGTTCTCTGAAATGTTAGTGCACTTAGAGTTTCAATAATGGTAGGCTTATTGTTACTGTTTTGTCAAGGGTCAAAATGCATACAAAAATCAAAAATCTCTCCAAGTGAAAAGTGTTATTAGTTTCTAGATTCAAACCAAGTTTGTCCTATAGAAATTTATAAACAAAACATAGAAAGTGTATGAGTGATTGCATTATAAACAAATCAAGTGTGAGAAAATGATGTTTCATATTTAATCAATGAAGATAATGTGCAATCGTACTTTATTGAAACAACTCAAGCTGTGCTTCAGAAATTTGGCTGGGACGTTTTCGACCACCTGGCCCCCAGTGACTTTCACCTCTTTCCCAAGCCAAAAGGGTGGATTTGGAACATTTTGGAATGAATGATGGTGAAAAAAAGCTGTCACAAACTGGCTGAAAGAACTGGCAGAAATCTATGACAAAGGAATCAAAAAACTAGTGTCATGCTAGTGCTTTAATTGTAATAGTGTCTAGGTAAAAAAATAACTGGCCTTGTACTAATTACTTAAGAAAACTTTTCCTGTCATTACTGTGATTTTTCCTTTTTTTATAACAAAAAGTTCTTTATTTTCTAGATGCTCCTCGTATGTCAAATATGCTACTTCAAAAAAGAGCAAACAGAGATTTTCTATGTAATTGGGATGAACAAATTTATCATGTATCAAATCATTAATTGTTTGATTAATTTTGAGCTAGAACTTGACTACTATAATTACTATAAATAACAAAAATTAGTCCAAAAATAGCAGTTAGGCTGCCATCTTATACTAAATTTAATAATTTAAAATATTCTGTAAGATATCAATCCAAAGCAAGACTTTAAACTGTAACTTCTGGTTACAGTGCAAATGTGTTACTAGCTGCACTAACCAACATCTGCTCTTTGCCTCCAGACAAACACTAATAAATAATGGCTTGGCAATTAATCTGTGTGGTTAAATTCTAGCCTGAAACTAATCCAACAGTTAACGATTTGACAATTAGGAAATCTGGACTTGATTGTTCTTGTATATCTACCACATTGTGTCCTCAATCCTTGATGATTAAAGCATTTATCAATACATACACACATTTGCCTGAACTAATGTGCTTTTGCAGATATGCTCTCTCTTTATTTCTGTTTTTCCTCTGTCTGTCTGTCTGTCTGACTGTGTGTGTGTACAGGTAACCCCCGTATAACACGGTAGTTACGTTCCAAAAAATTGCCGTGTTATGTGAATCCGTGTTATACAAAACAAAGAACTAATACAAAAAGGAGGGTTAGGTTCCAAAAATTAAAAAACATGCTAGTATATTTTCATAATTAAGATAAATATCTTCATTAAAATTTTTTTAAGTGTTTTCATTAAAATATTAATATAAATTAAACAATATTTTCTTCGTCATCACTAAAAACACTATTAATTAACCGAGAGTGTTTTCTTTTTGGCAAGTTATCTTTATCCTCTGAGCATTTTTCTGCATTATTTTCAGATCCATGCTTTGCCTTTTGCAAAATGTATGTAATTTTAGATTGCTTGCTTCTAGTTAAAAGGTCTTTATAAATTTCCTTATATGGTGCTAAGCACTTATGAAGAATAAAGCAAGTATGGAATAAGGGAAAAACATTCGGCAACATCAGAAGCAGAAGCGTCGCGATCTGGCAACATTGAAACAAGTTTCGAGAAGGACCACCTGTATCGACAGAAGGCGAGAAGAGAAAATTTACATACTTAAGTACAAATAGTTCATGAAAATAATAATTTTCGAGAACTATTATTAGTTAAGTATGTAAAAATTTATTACATTTCCTGTTGTACGAGGGTTTTACCCAATTCTCGAACCGTGTCAGAGTGAATCCGTGCTATAGAAGTGCTGTGTTATACGGGGGTTACTTGTATATATAATTTAAACACACAAGTTTAAGTACAGAACCTTCAAAAAGTTTCATCTTTCATCTGCATTCAACCATCTCATTGTCTACTACCTCTAGGAAGTGTTGTAAATAACAACAACTCTATAACAGATAAAGCATTTTATGCTCTACAGTTTGAAAAGTTGGAATCACTCACCACTGTGCAAAAATATCAATAATCTAAGGGTACTATGTCCTACGTGACAGTGTCCAGCGACTGTGAGCATGAACAGCTTCCAAGCAGAGCAAACAAACTGGTTCAAGCAAATGTGTGTGTTCTCATGTTTAGCATGCAGCGACCACCAGACAACACTTCTAGACATGCATGCAGGAAGCAGCTACAAAACAAGTTTGTTTGCCACTTCTTCCACTGCTCTTGCTTCCAAAGAAGAAAATGGCTGATTTTGTAGATGAATGAAAACAGAATGACAAATAAATTGTGTAGACATGTATATATTTTAATAATTTTTACATAAATCAATAATTTCTGATTTTGTAAATGCAACATTTTAAAAATAAAACTTTCTCTATACTTATTCTATGAACATTCTTTATATTTGTTGTGTATCTAGTTAGTTATAACATTTACTTTTCAAATTTAACGTTTTAATGCTTGTTATATTTTCCATAGCAAGGATTTGACAAAGTCGTCTCACTGCCATTTTGTAAACAACACGCTTCCACTCTGGACAGAAGTTGTTGGCGAGTTGGAAGAGCATACAAAAAATTCACGGTCATTGGATGCGGCCATGTAGGATGTACCCTAAAGGATCTGCAGAATTGTAGCTGCCATGGGAGGAGTGACATGGATGTGCTGTAGCAAGCATAGAAAGAATTTGAGTATGGGTTTGATGCATGCCATATGACATGAAGTGTACGCATTGAAAAATTGTAATGGGCAAATGTAAAACCTGGACAGTTTTCCAACGTTTTAATATACATTAAAATGTTTTCTGTTAATAAATAACATAATTACAGTAATTTAAAATGGTAAAAATTCTGTATATAAAATAATTTTTAAATCAGAATTTATTTTGAAAGTATTAACAGTAGATGAAAAAATTACTTTTTGTGAAAACACACAATATAATATAATACTAGCATACAAAATAATTATATTAAGTTTAAACTTTTTTAAACTATTTCAAATTAAAAATTGTGGAACAATTTACTTACTAGATTCTGAAAATTTTGAACAATAAGAGTTCTTTGATTATGATCCGTGATGGCAGAAAATGAAATAAAACTGAATCCTCTTCAGCTGGAAAAAGTTTTTGAAATATTTATTAATCAAATAATATAAGAGAATCACTTTATATAGAAAAAATAATGTTTATCAGTCATATAAATATCGAAATGGTAAGTGCAACAGTAATCAATATCTAGTTTAAATCAGGGATGAGGAGTCGGAGTCAGGAGTCAAATCTTTTCATGGGTGTCAGAGTCAATTTTAAAAAATACCAACCTGGGTGTCAGGTATTTTTCTGCCGACTCCCCATTCCTGGTTTAAATGCTATAAAAATTAGATAAATCACTCATTACTTTCATTCTTATAGTAATAAATATAAAACTTTTATAATTTGTCTAATGAAAAAAGTCTCCTCTTATTTATCCTTTCCATGAGTTAGCTTTAATTGTTCTCTAATTCTCACATTCATAACCAAGGATCAACGGTCAAGTTGGAAGTTTACTTCAAATACACGAATGCTTATTGGTTAGCTTCTAACTGTAACTTGATCCTGGTTACAAATGCTGCTGTAATGATTAAAACTGATAATATGCAACTTTTATTATTCCACATATAATTAATTAAGATTAAAAAAATTATCATAAAAAAACAAAAAATTTACAAGAAATTAGAACAAATTAACTTTACAGACAAATACATTCTATGCTCTATCTCAGGTCCCATACAAACTAAGCTTTTGACATCCCCGATAAAAACTGCATTCTAGTAAATAGTTTTTCTGATTAGTGTACCATTTCAAAATTTTATATTTCTAACATCAAACTATTCTTTGTAAAATTATTAAAATATTTAACCATGTCGAATAGTACAGTATAATAAACAACCACCCAATTTATCGTACAGTAAAGTGTCAAAAATCTGGATTTGGCCTTCAAAAAATGGATAGTAACCTTTTTAATGTAATTTCATAATTGATATTCTTTCGATCTTGCATTGTTGATGTCGTAATGTTCATTCATAATTCGTACTTTTTTTAATTTTGAAATTACGATTAGTATATTTTTTGTTTAAATATAGTAATTCTGTAAATTACATTTTGAATCTTTGTAAGTAATCCTACATTCTTTGGCTTGGCTTTAACTTATAATACGTAAACAAGAATAACAGTGTATTTGGAATTTAGTGCTTAAAATGATAATTTACACATGTATATTTGAAAACTGAGACAGGGTATGGCCCCAATTGGTCTAGACTTTCAATGCTTTACTGTATTTTTATTACCAAATGATCTTAAAAGCTTAATATAGCTTGATAGATAGTCCAGCAGATCATTTGGCAATGTAGAACAGTGTTCTTCAACCTACTTTTTAAATAATGGAACTTTTAAATCATTTATTTTATTTTATAGCACTACTAATGTTTATCAATTAGATCTGTATATTATATTACTTATTATAATTATTACATAATATATAAATTATTACTATAATTAGAAACAAATTGCAAGCTACATACAACAAAATACATCTTTACATACTATATTTTTATCACATTTATCTGTGTCCTTCCGCCGATGCTTTTCAATTTAAAAAAGTTTTTCTTTACATATAATTGCACAGCACCATATCATTGACCAAGGTGTAACTGTTTGATGAATGTGCAAAATGAAATTCATGAGAATTTGTAAATAAACTTAAAAAATGGGCTGTTAAGAGGTGTGCAAGTCAAAAAAGGTTGGAGACTGCCATTCTAACAGAATAAGATTTTTTTATTTAAATAAGTAACTATTATTCTCTATTTCCATTTAAGATAAAACACTTCTACATCTGCATTCAAGAAGCCTACTCTTAAAATTATGTCCTGTAATCAGGAATGACCAGAATAAATTTCGGAATGAGTTTTACTTTAGGCATTTGAAATGCCCTCTCATTGTCATAATTCAGAAAGTTGCTTTTCTTTTCTTTGACAGATATATAGGAAGAAAGCAAAGTTTTAGAATTCATGATGCTAACCTGTTTTCTATGCAGTCAGTAAGTGTAAAAGGCAATTTATCAAAGGTAAATACGTCGCACTAACCTTGTATAGCTTTGCAGTTACTACTTAAAAACGTAACACAGACATTTTCGACCCACTTCTAGGGTCTTCCTCGGGTGTTCTATATGTTTTTCTGGTGCGATTCCAATTTTTAACCGTTCAGGTCTCCAATTTGTGTTACGTTTTTAAGTAGTAACTGCAAAGCTATACAAGGTTAGTGCGATGTATTTGTAATTATCGCTTTGTTTATTAGATGATTTGTTTATCTTTGAAACAGAAAACAAAATTAACTTTTATTTTGGCTTGTCAATGAAAGTACTCAATCTCTGAACTTATTATTATTCTGTTCTTGCTATTGAACTTCTTACATAAATTAGTACTTTAATGCTCACGTATCTTACAAAAACAACCATTCATGCATTTAAATGCAGTATAAATTTTACTATTTCAACATTTTTGGTCATTTTAAACACCCTTCCTCAGGATAAAAAAAACCAATTGCAATTTAAAAATAAGAACAAAAGTTGTCCTCTGGAACAATTTGCATTTCAAAATTAGAAGTAAAATTTGTATTGCATTTAAAGGAATGAATGGCTGTTTTTGCAGTTTATGACAAATGTTTTACTGAATAGTGCTATACATATTTTAGGATTTTTTTACATAAAATATTTATTTGTCATAAATTCTTTTAATCTCAAAATTTTTATGTTTGAGAATATTTCTAGCAAAATTCTTCGTCTGTTATATGCTAGGACAACTTACAGTCACCCATGAATTTTCCTATGGCCAGTATACTACTAAGATCCTGTAAGAACCCTGGCTAGTGTTAATTTCAACAATCTTAGTCTTATTTAATTTTTGTTAAAAAAAAAAAACAAAGGAAGAAAAAAAGAACAAAAAAAAAAAACGGAGAATTATTTCATTTAACAAATTCAACAGAGAAACTTTGAAAGATTTTCCCATTGATAACACTTCCATTGTAGGTGACACATCTTCCAATAGAAAACTACTCGTCGGAGGACATGTCAAATAAAATTGGGGACTGGACCAACTGCTCACTCCCTGTACTTTACCAAGGTTTTAAGGTGTGTTTATCTCCTCGCTGTCCTCAACCGCCAATCTTCCCAAACTCCCATCACTTTCCACCAGACTTTTACTGCTCCCCTTGACAAACCAGTGCCTAGCCCATCATGAACTTTATCCTCAAATCAAGGTTCATCTGGACCAAGCCCTTCCCTCTGAGATGTCAACGATCGTCAACACTAACCATCCAGATATTTATCAACCCACATATGCAACTATGAACACACTCATTTTGTCATGCAGTAAGACATCCTCTATTTTGTTTTTGTACTTTTTACTCAGAAAATAAATATTTGTTTTTACTGGTTAAATGCGTAGTTATTTTTGGCATGCTGTCTCTTGACGCCCTCTTCCATCCCGAGCCCATTCATTCTCTCATATGCAACCGCTTGCATGATACTTATACATTTACTGATGTAACAGTCACAATCCTTAAATGTATTTACATCGTAATTACTGTATTTTAATATGTATAAAGAGGCCCGGTCATATAAGACGCAGCCGTATTTCAGCACAGAACATTTAGGAAAAAGTATTTAGTGTATTTAAGCCATGCTGCACCTTTGATATTCACTCCAAATTTCTTTTAATGTAATCTGATTTGAAAAAAGTAAAATTAGAATACACACTTTCACTTATCAGGAAACAAGTGAAAAAGATAAGTCTAAAAGAAGTCCTTTACAAGTAAAATTTATTATTAAAATATTCTAATACATACAAAAGCTGCTTAGCTATAGAAAGATAAACAAATTAAAAGTATAAGTATACATAGTAATCATATATTCAAATACATGCAGTTTAGGGAATTCATTAGCCTATGCCATAATTATACTTATTCGAATGCCATAATATTACTGGTCAGATAGAAAAAGATAGAATCAAAAATTTAAACAAAAAATACACCTGATCATAGTTTCAAAATTAAAACATTTACAAATTTTGAACAAATGTTAGAATGTCAACAATGCAAGGCCAAAACAATAGAATTACCATTAAGAGTTAAAATCTATTTTTCAATGGCCGAATTTGGAGTTTGGACACTGCATATGAACATATAGCGAGTATTATTCTTACTTTCTTTATTTTTCAATTAATTTATTAGACTTAGAAGTAATAAATGCAGAACTTGATCACTGAGTTTAAGTCAGTGTTTCTCAATGGGGGCGATATCGCCTCCATGTGGGCGTTTTTCCATGTTGAGTGGGCGATTAGTAACAATTTATATTTTGGAGGCAAAAAACAATTTTCTGGGCGATATAGTAAAACATTATATTAAGAATAATTAGATATTTTATTCGTTATATCGTACAATAATTAAACAAATAACATTATACTAGTCACTAGTCTATTCAATGCAGTAGGAATTTGGCGTTAGCCTTGGTCCTCGGCATCGGAATTTTGAAGTGAAGGGTCGATACTACGTAACGGTTTTATTGAAGGAGCAATACTATGTAACGGTTTTATTAAAGGGGGCGATACTATGTTGACGGGGGCGACGATTCGTTAGAGGTTGAGAAACACTGGTTTAAGTTAACACAACACTGCATACATCACCACCATAACTTTTGAAAAATTTATTCTACTCCTATTTATAATTAGGCATATTGTTCTTGATACTATTTTAATTGATTGGTAAACTTGAATATATCTTATTCTTCATTACTTTTTATAAATTTGAAGTTTCCTGTGTATAATTGTGGGCAAGGAAGGGACTAATACTCCTGAGAAAAACTGCTTAATGCGACTGATCTAATAACAAATTTTGACTTGAAAGTTTGTAGTCAAATTGTCTGATATCTGCATTCCTGAACTCAACATATTTTTTAAAGCAATATGAAAATAAGCTTTGTATACAACATTTAAAAACACTTTGTTGAGATTACATCAATGATGTTCCAATAAAATCACCCACACTTGACAATTTAAAATTATTTTTAACATTTACTAAAAAGAAA